AGACAGCATTTAACTAATTAGATGGTATATCTTCAATTTTCTATAGGTTAGGATAATAATAAGTGTTGCCAGCTTTTTAAACAAATATGGCTAGGATAATGGTCAGAAACAACTTGAATAACATTTTTTAAAAATCTTTCAAATCCACTTACCATGGAAGTAAACTGCACCTAAGCTCTGTGAAAGCCAAAGAAAAACCCAGAAAAATGATCATACCCTTTGCTAGCACTCAGTTGCATCCAGTCTAAAACCTATCTGAAGCTATTCTCAAGCCCCAGGTCACCATTATCAGCTGATATTAGCTTATCACAGATGTATCGTATCCAATCTGTACCTACCAGTCGTTCGACCTGAATGTTAACTTTAACATTAGCATAGTGACAATGGTCTTTCCATGTTAAACCAAAAACTATATTTCACCAAATGTTGTGGGTATAGCTAACATGGGTTTCTTAATTGCAGGTAATCCCACTTCAAAAAAGGTGATTGACTCCTTTCCCATTGTTAGAGGGTTTTTACTTTCTGAAATTTTTCCCCACTGCATCCTGTTCAACCTCATGAACACACCAAAACCTGACGCTCTCTTTCCTTGCTATCTTGCCAAGTTAACACTTTGACATTTTCATCACTGTTGATCAGAGCCAGGACTGATAAATACCTATGTTAACTGCAGAGTAATTTGGAGTGCTGATTGTAACCTTTTCGATTACAGACAAAGGCCAGATGTTAGAGGGTGTTGGTGGGTTTTTTGACCAGTGGAACAGAGGCCTCCTGACTGACTATCTTAGATATGCTTCTATTTTGTGTAAATAAATATTTCTCTGCTATGCACTTTGCTCTGCTGTGCTAGAAAGCATAAATAGATATGGAATGGCAGCATGGTATGGCACTCTCACAGTCCAGCTAAAATCAGAAATTCATAGGATGGTAAAAACGGCTATTCAGGTTATGGGCAAAAAAGACTATCCTTCCCTTCAGACCATCTACGAAGGTTCTGTGGTCAGACTGGCACACATGATCCTTAATGACCCGTCACACCGGAATTTGGCTGGTTACCATTAGGCAGACGTTACAGAGCCTATAAGTGTGAAACCAACCGCCTCAAACTCTCATTCATCCTGACGTCTATCACACCATCAATAAGTGTTGATACGGTCATGTATCTCAATACCCATTGCACTTTGTCTTGTACATTTTACAGTTTTTAAGTTTTAATGCCAGTTTTTCGTCTTGTTTATCTGTTATATCCTTTTAGTGTTTTATCATTTTAAGTCTTTTTAGGGCAGGTCCAATATTCAACTCACCTTTATTATGCATTATTATTCTGGGTTTTGCGTGATATGTCCTTGTGTTCTGTTTTTGTTGTTGTTGTTTGTTTTGTACAATGTACAGCTTGCAGCTGCTGTAGCACTTTGGCCCAAGAAAAAATGTCCCTATGGGACAGTAATGTAGATTTGGATACTTATACCATGTTTAAAACAATATTTCATGCATTTAAAAAACAACACGGAAGAAAATAAACTGATCCTCAACCTGTGGTTATGTCATTCCCCCAGAAGCTGACCTTTCATGTGCCTGGAGGCTGAAGCACAAGCAGGCAGCAGCATCTCCACAGCCCTTTGGTGACCTGTTGCTCTGATTAAGCAAACTAGAGATGACCCCCATGGTGAGAGAAGAGTGTTGAGAGTCGAGTGTTGTTTGGTGATACTTTGCCTTTGAGGCAAACAAGTCAATCTATAAAAGGTTACAAATGTGTTTCGACCAGAGGAGCTAAATATTTAAAGTACAGGCACCCTAACTTTTTTAAAGGATTTAGAGAGCCAATGTTCCATTAATAAAATGTAATAAGTGTCATTTATGAAAGCCAAGTGGCTTATGATGCTGTGATGCAGGTCAGCTCAGAAAGTTTAGCAGTTATCATTATTACTAACTATCATTAACATGACCGTTTATGCAAAGCACGACTGTTATAGCTCAATCTAGTCTCAGTGTTTCCATGGTAACAGTTATCCGTCATAAATGGCTTGTGCAGCTGTGAGTTGCAGGAGGACGACATAGTACCATGGAATGAATGGTGTTGAGTTTTAATTTCTCTTCTGTGATAGCAAACACAATAACATTACACAGCGCATTTACTAGTCACCGGTTACAGTTGGCTAGAGTAACTTTTCCCTGCAGCAACGTGATGGTACTTCACTCACACACAGACAGACTCACTTCCTGCAACAAACCCACGAGACTGTGTCTAATACATCATGTACCATTATAGGTCTGTGTTGATAAACAGAAAAACGATGTTCTTGCAGTTGCCGTTGAAACAAGATTTAAAAAGAGGATAATATAATATGAGGCATGATAATTCACTGTAGACGAGAGCTGGATTACTCAAATCATTAGTGTATCAGGAATTTGCTAAATCAGGCCTCTAAAATATGAAGATTCACTACTTTTTCTGTCATCTATGCTTGTAAATAAAATATCTCTGGGTGTTGGACTACATAGCTGAACATTACTTTGAGTGAAAAGGTGTGATGGCCACTTTTCACTACTTCGACATGTGGTAAAATAATTGTTAAGTGCAGTCCAACTGAAAGGGACTGGAAAACCAAATAAAATCACCATCTCTAGATAGACACAGATATCATGTGTGAAAATGGCATGCATTAGCTCATTGCTAATTCTCAAATCAAAGTATTTTTGATGTGTTGCCTGGTCTCACATCATTATTAATTGAAAATCTTTGGGTATATGAAGACTCACACTGGTGTCTGGGCAGTCATGTTGGGCATAAATCCTTATTTACAACATTTTACAAATTATTCATGGAGTAACCATTAAAAATGGTGAGTTGCAGCCATCCAGATAAAACTGAACCTCCTTCACCTCTTTGCTATGGAAGCCCAATACCAATGATACTCTGTTGCTGTTTGTATAGATTATTATGAATCTGTGTAAAATACCTGTGGCTTCTATGAGATTTCCTAACATCAGTAAAAATAATGTGAATAAAACATGTTTGAACAACACCAACACTATCAGAGAATTATTGTAATACAAGCACAAATAAGACACAGTTAAGTCGGGACATTCAGCAGTTAACAAAAATATACAAACTCAATATAACATGAAGTCCTGTCTAAAGGGATGGGACTGTTTAGGGAAGCCTGCAGTCACATAAAGATTACCAAGGAATGACAATCAGAGCCATCACCTCGAGATACACTGGGGGTTTGTTCAAAAACCATCCAACAAGGATCCAATCACAGAGTCCTGTTGTTGCGGTGTTCTGTACTACTTGCAGTTGGGAAATGTGTGATGCAAGCCAAGAAGAGGAAGAAATGACGCACAAAATTATATTTTCCAGACTACAGGAAGATATAAAGAAATCTCTTTTTTTTCGTTGGAGTTAAGAAAAAACAGACTTGTCTTGTTTGCCTGAGTTAACCTTATTAACAATGATGACATAACCACATAGTTGAGACGATGAGATGATGCAGCAGAAAAAGAATCACAGTGTGTTGATAAACAGTGGAGACATACAGTGATTTAAGTCCACACACACACACGGCTGGCCAGTCAACTCAAGAATAGATGATCCAGTGACAGGTTTACAGTTCAACTTTATGTTCTGTAATAGATGGTGCCACTGAGGCAGAGACAGGAGGGATGTAAACACAGTCATCCTCACCAAGGATCTTCAACAACTTCATCTCACTATTTTTTACTACTTTTAGTGGAATCACTGCATTTTTGTCAATATGGAGGAAGGTCAGTTATTATATGATCAGTCACAACAAGGTAGTGTTGATCGGCACCTTGTCATGGACTCACCTACCAAATTAATTCCACAAACATCTGTCCGTCCGTCTGTTTGTCAAATGCATATCTCATGAGCTGTTCATCTAATGGACTCAACACCTGACAGTTCTTGAGTAAATTGCCTGAGAACGTTCAGTACAGATTTTGGTGCAAATTAGACATGTGTTGTTCAACGTTAATAAAGATTCAATAAACAGTCGTTAAGCACTCTGCAGCAGTCATAGTGGGCTGGGCAGTGAGCCATAGTCTGTGGACCGAGTTGAATAGGTCTTCTTCTACATCCTTAGACCCCAGCAGTGGTTGGCAACTGGCAGCATACAGCCAATAATATCTGAACCACCAGATAATTTTGATAATCTGATTATTTTTATTTCACCTTATTGGTCTGACATAGACATTGGAGTCACTGGTGCTGTTATGCTTTATTAATCTGATTTCAGGCCTTTATTTTATTAAAAATGCAAACTTTGGTGTGAAGATTGTATCACTTGCTTAAAGGTTCAGTGTGTAAGAATTAGATGAAAGGGATTTTTGGCAGAAATTGAATATAAAATAAACCCAGTGATGTTTTCATTGGTGTTTCATCTAAATTGTATGAATTGTTCTTTACCATAGAATGGTATATATCACACAATAACGAAGCAAAATTTGTTTCATTTTATGAAAAAAATGTACTATAAAATCTTCACTACAGATAAACCAGGTAGGATGAACACAGACACTCAGCACCCAACGTCCTGCACACAAACAAAAAAAAGAGACAGTATATTGTAGAACTGTTTGAGGAAGACTCACTAATGACAAGGAATAATTCTGAACTAGCTGCGGAGCTTAAACACAGGACAAGAGAACAGAACATATGAGGCATGAGAAGCAACATGCCTCATATGCAGTTCAATAATATAATAAACTATATTCCCAATAAGTATTCAATGTTGACTACTTATTGGGGCTGGGGGTGGTTTAAACACTTTCTTCAAAATGTCCTCACGTGTACCCTCAGTGTTTCAGTGTGTCTGGAGGAGCCTGACTCTGGTCACCACTCGGCAGTGACTTGGTGAGGACACTTGAGGTTCCACAGGTGTCCAAGTGTGTGTCCATGGCTAACAGCAGGCTCGTGTGTGTGTGTGTGTGTGTGTGTGTGTGTGTGTGTGTGTGTGTGTGTGTGTGTGCTCACTCACCCACAGAAGTGTGTTTTCATTTTCACCAGCTCCAGCTCCATTGTGGATCCGTTACAGTGCATATTCATGGTGCACTTTGGTTTCCCCCCCCCCCGGTGCTCGGACAGGCCGGAACTCTTCCCTGTCAGCCGCTCACCTCCACATCACACGGTCAGAAAGTAACGCTTCGCCCGACGCTCTCCGGAGGAAAACTTGTCGAGCTGCTTTAAAGTTTCTTGCGTTTAGAAAACATCGGAGGCTTTGCTGACGGAGGAGTTGTCAAAGAGGCTGGAATGAAATGACAATTTCTTGCCTCTCCTTTCAGAATAAAACGCACTCTAACGGTTGTGTGTTTTGAGGGGATTGTAGGATCAAAGGAGCGCTTTTATTTTGAAGCGGAAATATCTTAATTCCCGGTGGCGTGGGGATAAAGTGTGGGTAACTTGGTGGAGTTTCTAGTCTCGCTATGGTTACGGTAATCCTTATTCACCTGCCCCTCTGTGTCAAACAGGGCCTGTTGTCTGCACCGGTAGAAAGTCCAGTTCATTAGTCACTGGTCGAATATGACTTTATAACGAACTGAAGGTTGAGTGTTTTTCCTCTGTACTATCCATTAGGTTTATACAGGTGATCTGCCTCACCCATCAATACTTCCTTTAACCCCTACGTGGAGCGTCCTTGTCAGTCCCAACACCAGGAATGGGGTTTTTTTGCATTCCCTGAAATAACTGCCTGTTGATGTCCACAACAGGCCCCATTACAGTTTTCAAATGTATTTCATTTCTGGGTATCGATCATGTCTTAAACATACATATGCTGTAAGATGTATAACAAGGGGGCCCTTCAAGGACATAGACGAATACGATAAACACAGGGTTTATAACATGGATTCAAGGTGGGTCAGGCCTCAACCACAACACTGCATATCTGAGGCGCTACCTGCTGGTCAATTAGTGAACAGCTTAAATAACACACCATAGCTCCAGTTAAGTGCATGAACTCTGAATGATTATCATCTTAAACATATAAAAATATGTTCATAATCTATCTCTATATCTAATACTGCATTACACGTATAGTTTACATTTCAGATTGTTCAGTTTCCTAGTTAATGTGTTTTTGTACATGCTATATTAAACTTGTACTGTATTTACAACTAACATTGTGTTTCTTTCTCTCTCATGGTCTGTGCTTTCTATTTCTCCCTCTCATACTCTGCAGGTATCTTTGACTTAAAAAATAACAATCATTATTATTATTATATATTTTATCATTATTGATAAGAAAAAATAACAATAATAACTGCTGCAGCTATCTATAAATATCACTGTCATTATTTCCATTATAACAACCAGTCTACCAGAACTTTAATATGATGGTTACACAATTGTTTCTGGTCTCTCTCTCCTCTCTCTCCCCCTTTCTTCCACTCTCAGACTGGATTGCCATTTCCACATGTCTGTCTGATGTTCATCCTTAGCAGGTCTCAGCTCTCATGCACACATACCGTCTCTTCTCCATATGATCATTTATGATTTGGTCATTGAGCTTTTTTTCTTGTGCATGTGCCATTTTTGTCTTCTTACCAGGTCATTGTGGTGCAGAGAAGGTCAATGTCCACCACTGCTTAGTGGTGACCGAAGGTTTCTTTGCAGAACTGTGATTTCAAATTCTTCATTTACTGTATGTTTGTACACGAACACCTAATACAGTGTAATCAAGCTATTTCCACATGCTATATTTTCAGTATTGTTGTTTCTGGTAACTTTTGTCCATCTTCCAAGGTTTCTCCACATTATAATACTTTTCTCTTTTCCAAAATAAAAGTTTCCACTTTCCACAAAATGGCTTTTCAAATTAAGATAAGTTAAAACATGTTTAAGAAGGCATGTTATGTGACAGTATGTTAAACTGACTCCAGCCACTAGAGGTCAGGAGTACACAGTTGTAATGTGATGAATCTCAGAGTTTTGCAGCCATTATATATGTATCAGATTTTTCTGTATCTTGAGTCCCTTTGAACACTGGGTGGTGAATGGTTCCAGGTAATTTGAAATGAGGCGAGCTCACTTGGGCAGGTGTGGTGATTGGGGAACAGGGTGAGCATATGTTAGTTTGTAAAAAATACACTTTCTGTGTGTACTGACGAGTGAATCCCTGGAAAATATTTCCATGGAAAAGATGAATAAGCAATGTAACATTGTACAAAATTTTTAGTAGTAGTAGGAAGCATAAACTCAGGACATTGTCAGAGGATTAAATCCTCCTAAAAACCTGTACCTTTGGTCAACACAGGGGAACATGTTACATTTGTATTTGTGTTACAATAACATGGATTATAGTTTAAACACAGTGTTACCTGATGAGTAACAGAAACACATGGTTATAAGATGAAGATTTTAATTTAACTTTTTATTTTGTGGAAAACATTTCACTTTATTTTGTTTGTAGATAGCTTTTTACCTTTTTTTGTTTGTAGAGACACGATACGGATTATACATTCCGACACCTACACATTACACCTACAGGTCTTGTGTCTTTGGACATTTTTGACCATTCATCCAGAAGAGCATTTTTCGAGGTCAGACATTGATGTTGGACAAGAGGGTCTGACTTGCAATTTCCTTAATAGTTCATCCCAAAGGTGTTCGATGGGGTTGAGGTCAGGACTCTGTGCTGGCCAGTCAAGTTCTTCCACACCAAACTCACCCAACGATTCCTCTAAAGTGAAATCAAGAAACTCTGATTGATGGCGCTGGTAATGGCGACAGGCAGCAGCAGTTGTGTGGTGCGCTGTGGAGTGTTGTGGTTTTAACCTGTTTGTCTTGTTTTTTTCGTCACTACCAACTTACTTAAAAAAGAAACACAAGCTGGACAGATGTTTGGTTCCAGTTTGCTAGAATGAATCTATTCAAAGTCTCCAGGACTGCTACAGCTGTACAAACTGGGACTTATTCAAGGTGTGTGTGATGATGTATCGGCTTACATCACTTTTGGTGAGGACTCATTTCACCATAATAATAAACCATGTCTTTCCAACTCAAAACACAATGAACCAGCAAGATATCAGTTTCAGTCATGACTCTGTAAAGGGAACTACAAAAACAGGCCTAAACTTAAGCTTGCTAAACGTAGCAATAACTCAAGCCCTGCATGCGAAGGGGTAATGTCCATGATGGGAATAAAGCCCAAGAAGTGTTCAATCTCCCTCAATAATAAGTCTCACCATGATCGAAACGTATTATTCTAATGAACTGAAGACTTTTTATAATCGCTTTCATGTTTACGATTTTAGTAAGGAGCAGTCCATCTTCATGGATGTGGCTCCCAGGCAGAATTCTGTTCATGTGGACAAGTGTAAAGTCCTGAGGCTGTGTGTGAAGGAGAAGAAAAGCACTGATGGCCTTAGTGGCTGCATTCTAGAACTGTGCCCAAAAACTGGCTGATATATTCCTTTTCATCTTCAAGTGGTCAAACTCCACAGGGTCCCTCGCCTAAGACTCCATTATAGTTCCTGTGCCAAAAGTTAAAGCTCCAAAGCTATTAAATGACTATAGGCCTGTAGCACTTACCTCTCTCGTCATGAAATTGCATGAGAAGATTGTGAAGGATGTACTCCTGAACATTGTTAAATATATTTTAGACTACATTTGCCTATAGGTCACAACTTGGTGTTGACAACGCCATCTGCACATCATTGAAAATGATTCTGACACACTTAGAGGGCACTAAAACTTTTGTGCTGCTCTCTTGTGTTCGCTCACCTCTATTATGTTGTTTTAAATACCAATTTATGTCAAAGCGAGCATAAGGGTCAGCGTATTTTAAAGTTTGTTGATCATTCTGTCATTGTGTCACTTTTAAAGCTCTGATGACCCTGTAGTAACAGATTTTATTGACTGGTGTAAGTCGTCCTTTTTAGATATTAATGTTGCCAAAACCAAGGAGATGATCATAGATTTCAGGAAGAATCTAATTGTCATCTCTCATGTGGGGATTAATGGTCAGGCTGTAGAAGTTGTACAGCAGTCCAAGTATCTTAGGGCATTAACTGATGACAAGCTGACCTTTGAGCATCACATGGGTGCTTTGTAGGAAACCTCGTTAGTGCATGTATTTTTATTAAAAGCTTTATAGTTTTAATGTTGACAGCACTTTAATGAAAATGTTTTATTGTTGTTTTACTGAATCTGTTCTTACCTTTTATTTTATTTGTTGGTCTACATTGTAAAATAAGAACCAACTACAAAACATTGTTAGAGTGTGCTGCAAGATAGCAGGCACCACCTTAATGACTCCCTAACCTGCACAAGGGCAGGTCCTTGAAGAAAAGTAAGTTCTGGCTGACCCCAGTCACCCCCTGTTTTTTTAGTTCACGCTGGCTTCTAGACACAGGACAAACAGATGCAAGAACTAATTGTCCCTGCTGTCATTAACCTTTTGAATACCCTAACATAAGTGTATTAAGTAATTATTGTGTTTTATGGTTTTATATATATATATATATATATATATATATACACATGTCCTAGTTCTGTGATTGTTCTGCTGCCCTAACATTATATGGGCTTTTGTCCATATAATGTAACTTTCAACTTTTTTTGTTTGTAGGTTAGTTTTTACCTTTTATTTTGTATATTAGTTTTAACTTTGTATTCTTTTATAGATAAGATTGAACTTGTCATGGTTTTTTGAAAAAAATTATGTTGTGGTGATTAGATTAGATTAATTAGTATTATATATATATATATATAAATATATTATTTAGTTAGTAGACTACTTTTGTTTTAGTTTGTAAACTTTTTTATGTTTCATAGATAAGATTTAAATTTGTATTGTTAAATTAAAGGGTTAAATCACATCAAAATATGAACAATAGGAAACAATGGGAACACTGTAAATGGTTTAATATTGGGGAGCAGTGAAGCCTTTGTCATGACAACCAAAAAATTCCACATGCAACATTTTAGTCACTTATGACAGGAAGGTTAATCCCCTTGTATGTTTGAAGGTCTTCTGCACAATTTAAGTTAACAAATACCAGCAGATGCATAACTTCAGTTGTGCGCCTTAGTGTCATCAGGTGTTTTGGCCTTGTAAATAACGATACAGGCCAAACTTGCGTGTACACTGAGGCTAAAGGTAAATCGGACTGACAACTGGCTTGTATGGCAGCACTATGAAAGCATGGCCCACTCAGTAGATCAGACATCATTACCTCTATGCCATTTCAAACTAAACACATTCCCATTTTACAACATAGGACAAAATGGAGAATATCCCTTCTATGTTCTACCATTCTGAAGGAGTTTCCTAGTTCCACAGGGGTCTACGCTGACCTAGGCACAAACCTCCTCTTCCCTGCTGAACGTGGCCCACAATGTCAGCAAGCTGGAATGGTTCTTTTGGTGTCCATTTCCACCCTGTTGTCAATGACGGGTCAACAGCCCGTAATTTGTCTCAGGACTCTGAGAGGGTCATCGCCAGTCCTGTGTTGGTGCATTTAAAATTCTATACAGGATTTGAGATAGGCAGCTTGAGAATGCTGTGTCCACACAGGCCGATGTCGTTCTGACATCTTGAGACTCCTAACATCTTTTATCATCTTACATAGGAGTTGATCATTCTCTCTATATTCTCAACTCTTGTGAGGGGATCATCAATTACTGTAACATCAGTCAGGGTAATGGGCCAAACTTTAGGCACCAGAGCTTTAGCCTTCCCAGGAAGCATGGACTGGTTGATGTTCTTAAGACCTCTGTTGACATCCTGCTTCAGCTGCTGGACCTGCTGGCAGTCTTTGAGGTTTCCATCATAGCATCATCTCATACTCCTCTAGCTCTGCACCAAGCTTTGGGTATTGTTTGCTTCACCTATGACACTCTCATTAAATTCCACAAGAAACGTAGAACATCAGGAGCATTCTGTACGGGACACAGTTTGGGCCTGGGGCTGATGACACTCTCTCCCATGTAGCACATGTAATGTAAAGAAATGTAACTCACAGAAAATACTTTCTGTTGTTCACTGGTCTTGGATGCCCTCTAGTGGGGTTGTCAGCAGAAGGTTGTGGATAAGGCAAACTTCATGAGTCGTGCAACAGATGGCTTCTGCTGGTTTATTTTAGGATCTAACACATACTATGTATAGACGTACACTTCAAACAGACACTGCCCAAGTGAAGATGAATCATTATTTTTGACTTCTTCAACTCAGTTCGGAGCTATGTAGACACCATGTATAGATATACAGACATACTTATTTCATAATACAAGCTCTACCCAAATGAAAAGCACCTTAGACCGCACAGCCATCCTGACTGTCATTGATAATATAAGGGTTTTGAAGTGTGGTATGTTAATTTAGAAGATAAGATAAGATAATCCTTTACACAATGGGGAAATTTGCAGTATTACAGCAGCAAGAGTCAAAAAGGCATCAGCAAGTAATAAGTAACATACTTAAGTGTGAGGAACTATTGATGAGTCTGAAATAAAGTTAAATAAAGTTACATTGAATTGAACACTGGCTCTTGAGAGCTGGGGGTGGGAGGCAGTGAAAGAGGTGGTTGCAGGTGCAGCGTGATTGACACGTTCCTCAGCAATACACATTTCGCCGCCCTTGCCAAAGTGCCGCCCAAGGCAATTGCCTAGGTCTCCTATATGGACACGCCGGCATTGCATGTCTCCGTAAACAGCATGATGCTACACGACCAGTGGACCTTCTCACGCCTGGTCAACAGCGCTAACTCATCCATCTCATTGGGAAGAGATCTTACATTCCCCATGACAGGAGGATGGATCCGTAGCATCTCCTTCTTGCGCGATGCTGGGCTCTGGCACAGCTCTACTGTCTCCTCCTTAGCTCGCAGGGGACGTCAGGTCTCTCCTCAGGCAGTACCGCTGTGTTACACAGCACTAACAGCTGATCCCTACTGTAAACAATAGGGCCATGGCTCCACACGGGATCTCTGGACACGATCAAAGTGTAAAAAACAAGAAAAAGAAAACTGCAAATGTGATGCACTTGGCGTCCATAGAGCACAAATGTCAGGAGAACAAAAAGGAGAGTAAGATAAAATGAAAAAAGACAAAGTTAGAGAGAAAAAAATGCTCAGCATGAGCTAGAGCTGCTGTAACAGGTGGCCGCTATTGAGGCGCCATCTTATAGAAGACGAAGAATTATTGAAGGCTTCAGAGATGCACTGAACTCTGCATAATCTGCTGACATTCTCCCAAGGGGCTGTATGTGAGAACACAAATGCCAACTCAGAGGCTCTGGACTGTAAATCTCCAGATTATGTCTGAATGAGCCAATGTAAGAAAACAGCAGGGGATTCTCTGGAGGATTCAACACAAGCAAGTGGGTGTGTTTATGATGTTTCTAACACATGACAGACATAAAACTGAAAAAATCCAAAAGAATACCAATATCTCAGGATGAAAAAGAGGAGCCATACGCTTAGAGGACACAGACAAGGATTTCAAGATTCAGAGCTTTTGGTGTAGCCAGTGTTTATGGTCTGCAAACATGAATGTGTGATAGCCAGCTCGAACTTTGCACGTTATATCCCTCACTTTAAGGCTACAGAGATTTCTGTGTTGTTGTGAACACAAGCGACCACCTGAACTCCTGCCGCATTGTTCATATGAGAAACATCCCGATAAGAAGGGCTTACATTAAATAAAACTGAGGTTCCACCAAGACTTAAATTCAGATCACTGAATCAAAGTCCAAGGTGCTGACCATTACACCGTGGAACCAGGGAACAGAGCAATCAAACTGTTAACCCCAGTGCTTCAGGATTGCTGCAAAAGCACTTTATAGGCCACTTATCTTTGTACTGTGCTGCCGCATGCCCTCCCTCCTCACTCCCTGCTGACCCGCGCTCACTTTACGCCGTAACAATAAACACTTATCAGAAGTTGTTAGCAGCCATTGCTGTGTCTTGTGCAGCTCACGTGTCAACGCCATCTCGTCACTGGAGTAAGCATTTACTGTGTCTGCAGAAACTAAAGAAACAGTCAAAAGAATCTGTGTCTGCCCGCGACCACCAACATGAATTAAATCAAAAATAAGCAGGAGACAAATAATACCTACAAACCTAATGGAAATTAATACAAGCACTATATCAGAAAAAATCTAACGATAAAATGTCTACTAATATGAGGTCACTCAGATCAAAAGCTCTACTTGTGATGATCTGATAATTAAAAACCAATTTGATTGATTCTGTTTGAATCTGCAACAAGATGAATATGTGGGTTTAAAGGAAGCAAAGCCCCTCACCCACATTAAAACTCATATTCCTCAGAGCACAGGCAGAGGTGGAGGGGTCGCAGCAATCTTTAAATCTGACTTATCAATCAACCCTCAACCTAATATCTAATAATATTTCCCTGAAACCCTCTTCTGTCTGACCATTTCTAATTATATTTAGATGTACAATAAAGGAAAGTTATCAAAACTTCACAAACACATGTTGTGACACCGACATCACAGAAGTAGGAAAGGAAGTGTGTTCCACCAATCACAATGATTTTCAACTAGCCTGGAAAGAATTCTGATAATTTACAATAAAGCTCTCTGAAATGCCAGAACCTTCTACTTTTCATTAAAATGAAAATTACAACAACCCCAGGTTACTCTTCAGCACTGTAGCTCTACTGAACCACCCATCCCTTGAACTCTTAATGATTTCATGAGCTTGTTCACTAATACAATGTAACCATAGTTTTCCCTTGGACTTCGTTGTGACGCAGGTCAAAGTACCACTTTATTTCTCAAACTTTATCTTTATGTAACACTGTGAGGGATTTTTTGTCGGTGTAATATATATATATATATATATATATATATTGAATTTATGAATTTATGAATATATATTGAATTTGTATGTTTTTGCTTGGACCAACTTGATAGCTAGCTAGCTAGCTGCTGAAGCTTACCCCAAACTTGTCGGACACATTGAATATAACTCGATGGCTTCTCACATTTACTACATGATTCAGTGCATGAAATTAACATTACGTACCTCAGGCTTTTAGTTGGTTACAGTAAATAAACCTCTGCTTAAAAAGCCTAATCTTGACCCAGATGTTATAAATAATGAAAGACCCATACCAAACCTTCATTTCATGTCTACAAACTGAAATGGCATTAGAAATTAGAAAACCAGGTGTAGTGATGACGAATCACATTTGCTGGCATTCTATTGGTTGGAAAATTCACCAGACTYGTTGCTCAAAACAATCTGAGAGCTGAAGTTAGAATGCAGGAAATCTGTTCAAGTGACTGAATATCTGAGTTCAAGCAAACGGTTTGAGAACATGCAGAGCAGATTTATGCTCAAGGTGGTTCCATGGTGTAATGGTCAGCACTCTGGACTCTGAATCCAGCGATCCGAGTTCAAATCTCGGTGGGACCTGATTTTGAGAGAGACCCACATTCGTCCAGTCCATCAGCACCGATGACACTGTTCAGGAAAGACCTGACTTATTACACATTACTAGATGATCTTTGATCGAGTTTAGTGATGTGTGGTGATGGCGCATCTTGTTTAGCATCACCTAGCTTTAGCTTCAGTTAGCACGAGTATAAAAGTTCACCTTAATCACTGTTAATAAACAAGAAATGTGTGTTAATTCCACAGCTGCAGTTCTCTTGTGTTACTGAAACACTCACTCTTTAGCTCGATAAATATTGATTCTTTCACTCTGTGGCTCTTTATCTTTCCTCATGTCTTCTGTGTGTCTTGTCAAAGGGACCATTGACATCATCTATTATCATCCAGTCATTTTCCGTGACAGTAATCCAGGCGGTAGGTGATGAAGACAGGAATGAGGGTTTCTGCCACAGAGTCGGGGAGTGAAGGCCGGAGATGATTTTGATGTGAAAGAAGGCGGGATTGGAAGGAGAGGGTGGAGTCCAGAATGACACCAAGTTTAAAAATATGAAAATAACTCAAGGATTCAATGTTGTGTCTTTATTTTTTTTAATTGTTGAATGACGGCGTGTATACAACATTGATTGAAGAATCTACACATTGCAGCCATCAACTGAAATGCTAATTTGGATTTTACGCAATAATCCGTAGAAAATAAAGTTCCTCTACAGTTTCTCACTAAAACACACTGTGTAAAAGTATTACAGCAAAGATAGTTGTAGGATTGGATTATAAAGGGGTCTTTGACAAGGCAGGTTAATGCTTATTGTATTTTCCAGGCCACCACCCTTTTAATGTGCCTACATTTAAATGAGTAAACATAGTGTGAAATTGAAGAAAAAAATAATGATATGCATTATTCATCCACAGATCTAGTCAGGTTAGTTTTGACCATGTGTCCGTCTTTTTGTCCCCTCAGACCTGCCAGGTAGACCTGAGGCTTGGGCATGCTGCTCTCACCGTCTCTCTTGCTTTGACAGGCGGCGTCCTTGGGCAGCCAGGTCTGAGTGACGTTTTCCCGCCTCATGTGGCTCAGATCAGTCTGTGCTGAGTTTGTCACTTTGGTCCGAAGATCAGCCTTGAATTATGAAATGGAAACATGTATTGTTCAATAAATTAACAAGGTCATCTTCGTCAGAGGCGAAACAGGTGTTAGTAGTGGAAAGGTAACTTGATTGTCTCTGTAACGTGGTGTGTATATCTGTACATATTTAGGTTATTTTCCTCATATTCAGTTTATTTCTACAGGTGTCAGCAGTGTTGTACATGAGACAGCCTCAATAAATCACATCAGGAATTTAGAGTCAGCGCTTTGTTAAAACTGTGCACTTGGCTACAYTGATGGGGGTGAAACATTATAAGTGCAGTTGGCGTTACAGACYAATRCATTTATCAGACACTAATACAMTGTTCAAGGAGTGTGTGCTCACAGACACTTAACATGATGACAACTATYTGACAACWATTTTATCTTCATGAGATAAAGCAGTAATACAGAGTACCCGACCAGGAAAGTGCACTCATGAATGTGATAGGTCAGTGCAGCACCACATGACATTGTGCTTCATTTTGTTGCAGTACAAGTTGGGCCAGGATCATTTCAAATCAGTGTGTGTTTTCACAGTCTAAACTCCTGCCTATTTATCCTGAATGTTGTTTGATGCCAAAAAAGATTTTAAAAAAGAGCAACCTATAAAACTACATAGTGTGACAGTGTGAATTCACCAGGCTCACCAGTCTGATAGCTTTTTTCCGCAGTTCCCACTCATTCCACTCATATGACTTGACTATGTTTGTCTCCACTGGGTGTAGGTCAGTCTGTGTGCTGCTCTCACACTTAGTGATGGGCTTCACCAGCAAACTCTCTTCTGGCTGCATCTGCAAAACTCCAAGTTAGAAACCGATACTGTCACAGTGTCACTTTTAATGCCACCACCAGATCATGCCAAAGTGACGAGAGCCGTCTTCAGACATGGCCTCTAGAGGAACTCTTGGGTCCAGACTTTGTTTACGTCTTACACATGAACAACACAGCAGGAAATTMTTCGCTCAGACRCGATCACARCAGCAAATCAACAGCAGAATCCAGRAGMTTCAGGTGAGGGGTGGTAGTAACAGACAAAGGTAGGATGTAAAGTATTAATTCTGCTGCGGAGAACAAATGTTTTTGTTTACAGCACATTGACACCAGGATCGGATCAATCACAAAAACCTCTTGACATCTTCATCATCAGTGTCTTCTACCTGTATGGCTCGGCTTTTTCATTCTGATATGTTTTGTTCTCTTTGTTTTTTTCATTTTTGTGGCTGTTAGAAGCATCATCAACAACCCTTGTTCATCCTGCGGAGGATTTCCTGCTSTGTTCACACATCTGCTGACTTTATACTGGGAGCCAGAGAGAGAAAGAGCGCAGAAGCTCTCACTCCGACATTTGCTTTCACACATATAATTCCTCCAGAGGGTCGCCGGTTCATGTCTGAAAGCAGTCACACTGTGAAATCCTATGTTTAATTACCCAGAGAAAGAAGACTCACCTCAGTGTAAGGGCTGACGCAGGAGAACTGTTGGTGGAGTTTGAGAAGTTRAATGAGTTCAGGGGAGAGCTTGGCTTTTTCTGTGACCTCTGCAATGAAGTCGTCTGGACGAGAGGCAAATTTCAAGGCTGCTTCTTTGGAGCTAAAAGCATAAAGTTGTCCTTTATGCCTCATGACTCCAATGTGTGGATTACCTGC